TGTTTGTTGATTGTGGCCTTCGTTTGTTGAACTTGTGTACTCCCCTCCTTGATGGCTTTGAGGCCATACAGGATGCCCAGGCACACCACCTGGCGAGAGACAATTAGCAACTGTATCCTAAAAGGCCTCTACTCCAGGCTCTAGACAAACAAACCCAACCCCAATCTTTTCAAAGCCACTCTGCCTGCACCATGGTGTAGAGGTGCACGCGGCGGATGGGCAGCTTCTGGATGTAGTGGTACTGCGGGTACTTGGCCGGGTCCCAGATAAGCCACAGGAAGAGGCGATCGAAAAGGTTGTTGCCGGTCAAGCTTGCGATGCCCATGTAGAAGAACACGCCCTGCAGCACGGCCCGTGGCAGGAACTTCAGCGCCGGCGCCAGGAAGAGCGCACATCCGATGAGCACATGGATCAGAAAGTTCGTCGCACGCTGCTCCACGACCTTGCTCGGCACCTTGCGCTCGCCCTCCGGCAGCTGCTTCACCTCATAGGTGGTCAGCGAGATCACGTGCGTGATGCTGGGCACTGTCGAGGCCACCGACAAAGGCAGGCCCAATACAGCGCAGACGGGCAGCGTCAAAGCTCCCCTGACAAACCTTAGAGAAATGTCTTTGGCAGCCCTTGCAAAAACATGAACTCTCTGACCCTGAAAAGGGAACCTGCTACAAAAGTAAAATGATTCTTGTAAGAGCTGGTCAGTAAGCAGATCCAAATGATAGCCTGGCCCCTTCTGCAGGTTGTTGGAAGGCCTGTTCACGATCACCGACGTGAGGTTCTGGTCCAGGTAACCCAGCACGGCGAAACCAATTGCCTAGACCCAAGAGCAACCCAGGAACTATAAAAGGGTAATTACCACTTTGGTGCTTATAAGGGAAGCTAAACTTAAAACGCTAAAAAATGATAAGGCCTGCTTTGCAGTCTAGGTTGCTGGCAGTATCGCGTAAGCGATGGCCCAGGCCGGGAAGTCGCGCTCGATGCCCATGGGATTCACGACCCAGGGCCGCTTGCTGCCATCCGACAAGACGAGGTTCGGGGAGAAGTCCGCGTCGACGCTCAGCATCCTCAGGTTCGTGTCGCTGGAGTAGATCGCTGCCAGGGCCGAGGCTGTGACCAGGGAGATGGTCACTGCGAAGTTGGCCATGAGGTTGCGGATGGGCCGGAGCAGCCAAGGCGTGCGGCGGAAGTGGGACAGGTAGGTCGCCAAACCAAAAGTGTACATGAAGAGCAGGGCCTCGACACATTTCAACAAACTTGGCAAATTTTAAAAGATGCCACAGTCGGGGACCCGGAAACGTGCACACCCTAAGAGCAGGGCCTCGAACATGGCACTGGTCAGGCTCATCTTGTTCTCCGAGAAGTTCTCGATGATAGGCCTGCGCCCCGGAATGGTCAACAACGGTTGATTGGGCACGCCACGGTGTTTCAATTGGGCCGTCTACACTCGCTGACCTATCTTCGTGCAGAACAAAAAACACACGGTTAGATTCGGATAGGTTCGTTCGAGAAGATGGCATCTTCACCTTCATGCGGCAGGTCTATCATAGCCCAGGACTAACATCACCGCCCAATCTCATGGACATGAATATCGTGCAGGAGTCAATGCTCTGCGGTAGCCCCTTGCTGCAAATTTCTGCACAAACAACACAACACTCGCAATGCTCACGAGCTGCGGGCCTAACTCCGTCGATGATAAAGATCAAAGAAATCAGCCCCGCGAAGATGTCTTCCGAGAACATGGTCACATGCTTCATGAGAGCACAAAGGTCGAAGACCGCGACCAAAATGGTGAAGAGCGAGCACCACATGCAAACCCAGAAGTAGAAGGGCATGAACTCCACATCGGCACCCACAGCCATGTCATACACCACGAGGGTGTAAGCCAGGAAAGGACCGGTCGCTCCGAGGATGGACAAGGGCTGCCCTGCGAAGGTGGAGAAGATCATGCCAGAGACGGCTGTCGACATAATCATTTCCAGCACTCCGAACTGGCCATTGGTGCCGTCCAAGAAGCGGCTTCCGAAGGTGATGGCGGGCGCCAAAGCTGCGATGAAGAGGTAGAGAATGGACGACAACGATTTTTGGAAGTTCTCCGGCTTGAACGCATCCGTCCAGTCGCTCGCGTAAAGCGGCAGCCGCCTACGCAAGTCCAGCCTCAGGCCTCCAGCAATTTTCCCAGTAAACTCCAAGGGCCCGTAATCCTTCTTGGCCGTGTGGTTGATATAGCCGGACTGGTTGCGGATCACTGCCTCGGCCTCGGACATGGCTGCGATGCTCAGGGGGCCTGTGGTGGGGCGGATGTTCGCGTCTCGAGCCACTGCGTGCCTTGCATCGCGGCGTGCCCTGTACCAGTGCAACGCATACATGTGCCGTACACCAGGCCCTGGCACGGGGACGCTGGCAGCTCATGCGCGTGGAAGGCTTTTAAGGCAATACGTGTTCCTGGACTTCAGGGCTATAGGGCTTTGGGTGCAGGGGTTCAAGGAGTGTGAGCCCGGCACAAACCCGGTTTGAGCTTGTCCCTCACCACCCCGTACCCCTTGCCTTGCGGGGAGCATCCCAAAAGCGCATATCTTCGCCGATCACCTGGCAAGACGAGGTTGGGATGTAAGCTATAGGGCCTAAGCCCCAAATCCACCCACGTTCCGCATCTTTCCCCCCCCGGCCCCCCTAGAGTCTCTAGAGGAGGCTGAGGTGCGCATTGTTGTTCATGCCGAACAATCTGGCTTTGCATGGAGCGAGAGTGAGAGAGAGAGAGAGAGAGGGAGGGGGGAAGAAAAAAAGAAAGAGAGAGAGAGAGAGCACGGAGGAGGGAGGGAAGGAGGAAAGGAGGGAGAGAGAGAGAGAGAGATTTTGCAAATAACTACCAGATATACGACTATATAACGCAAAGAAAGGGCGTGAGGGAGAGCTCATGAGCAAGAGACAAGGTCGCCTAAACTTGTTACTGCAGGGTTGGGTCCCAGGTACGCTGCTACCAACTCGAATAACTCGAAGTCGGGAATGGCTGAGTGCACACCTTTAGGTGGCCCCCCTTTTCTTGACTGTAGAGGGGCTTGTTGCGAAGGATTCAAACCCTGCACAACTAGGCCCTTCACGACACCGCACGAATGTAAGGGGCCAAGACGAAATGTAGAGCCGAAGCCCGTGAGTCGGAGCCTCGACGTTGGTCCAATCTTCTACGATGCATCGGTGCCTGGGGGCACAGGGCTTCCTTCCATTTTCGACCGGGGTTTAAGGCTTTAAATGGCTTTCAAGTTCAGGGTTTGGGAGACACGCGTGAAAGATCCGTTCGCCCACTTCTGCCGCGTAGTTTGATATAGTTATCTTGAATTCTTCTCACACGTGTACATGCATTGACTTGGCTTTCGGTTCGCAGGTGAAAGAGAAACACGCGGGACAATATAAAAATAACAATAAATAATGACAATACTAATAAGAACAAGAATGGTAATGACGGTAGTAATGTAGGGGCCTTACAAAACCTTTACGGGGAGCTGCAGTCATCCGCGAAGCTTGCAGAATGCCTCAGGGTGACGACCGCGTTCGGGTTCTTTTCCACAGCCCAGACGCGGATGTCGGCACCTTGCGAGGAGCTTCCTGGTTCAGGGCTGTAACACTGTAGGGCTTGGAGTCTTGCGGCCTGTCGATGAATGTATTAGGGTGTAGGGTTGCCCAGGATCCCCAATCAAGGAACCGATTTTTGCTTGGAGGGGTCCTGAAGAAGGAACCTTAACCCTGAACAAGAAAACAAGGACACTGGGAACCGCTGGGGGTCGCAGAGCTCAACGCGGTTGGCTTCAGGCAAGCATGGAACAGTCCAAACCTTCGTCCCCAAAAGGCAGAAGCCTGGTGAGAACTCATGACCCTAAACCTTCTGAGCCTTAAGTCTAGACGTTGTTCTTCTCATGACTTGGGATGTTCCCCCTGATACAAACAGTCCTTGACAGGGACTATAGTCCTATTCTAATCCCGATTAAGGACTGCAAGGGGGAACATCCCAACTCATGACCATCGATCAAGCAGTGGTGGAGGCTTCAGCGCGCACCTGCACGAACCGCCGCGCTGCGGACCTGAAGCGGAGGTTCCCAGGATCTGACGGTTTCGGCCTTGGGGGCTGGGCTTCGGGCTCTCCAGGGCCCCATGGGGCCGTATAGAGGCCCTACAAGGGGCCCTCGTAGGGCCTTTTGGGGTCTTCGAGGGCCTCGGGCCTTCGGAAGCATCCGTTGGTGTCCCCTAAGTGTTGAAGGGAGTCAGCCTCAAGCATTGAGGGGTCGTGTTCGGAGAGGGCGCCGTGAGTTCGCTGCTAATTTCAGTTTTCACGATGGTTACTTCTCCTCCATCCTCAATCCTAAACCCTCAAGGAGACTGCTATGAGCTGCTACGAATTAGCTGCTCGAACTTGCAGTGTTGCTCCCGAAAGTTGAAGCCTTGCTCCTCCGAGCCCTGGCGGCCAAGGGCTATGGTTTACCCCAACGGAGACTGACCCCCTAAGGCCACCTCTTTAGGGTTTCGGGCCAGGGTTTACGCCGATGAAGGGGCCGGTGGTCTCTGGGCATTCATCAAGGGGATACTCTAGCATCCCGCGACATTCCCGAACATCATCGCCGGCGGCTGCGAAGGTGTTTGTGGACCCCCTCTCTTGTCATCACACTTGAACCAGACCGAGCAAGCCCGTCCATTTCAATATCGGCCGGCTCCGCGGTCGTTCGTTCACTAATTAGGGTTGCCATTGCAAATGTCCCTGAAAGAAGGTATTGGTGAAGCTGTTCTATGTGTTTGGGCCATGCAAAGATGTCGAAAAAGCGATGCCCGTCTCAACACCGCTGCTGTACAAATGCGTTTGTGTGATCGACGATCATTTGTGTCTATCGTTACTTTTTGGCATTTTGTTCAATCACACATATTTCGAAGTGCAAAACCGTAACTGGCCTTCTTGACTTTCTACACACTGGCATACACAATCCGCCTCTCAGCGAGTTGTTGTGAACATATCACTACGCTCACTTGTTTTGCTTTTCTTTCCAAGCTTGCCACACTTGGCGGACGTCCACCTGCTCGGTCCCACCAGGGGCTTCTTTCCTCCCTGTTGAGACATTTCCGGAGACGTTCGTCGTCTTGATCGTCACTGTGGCCTTGTCGGGCGACAGCGAGGCAGAATGGTCGGTACCCCACGCACCGCCAATGTTTGAACCGTTGGCGCTTGTGTAGGTCCAGATGGTCGTCCCATCGTATGTCAGGGTCGATGTCACGATGCAGTCCATGTCACCCTCATCACGCTCCATCCTGGAGCTTGAGCTGAGACGGACCAGGCTGCTGTCAAACGCGTCAGACATCTTTTGCTAGTCTTTTGGTTCAAGGGCAGAGAAGTGTCAGAAGGGAGTTGATGTGGTTGATGCAGCACATCGGTATCTCGTCTGCCAGAATTAATTTTTAAGATTTACAGGGTGAAGACATTGTTGTGTTCGTATTGAGAAAGGGAGCGAAAACGATGAGCCCAATGTCTCTTCTTGCGGCACCGCACGGGTCTATACGTGTCAATGAAAATCGTGGATGCTAACCGTGAGGAGCCCCCACCCCGGCTGAATGAAGATCCCTCAGGGCTCTGAGGCCGAATTCACCTAAGGAGGCCGCAGGGGCTGGAGCCATAAACTGGAGACATCTGGGCCTTGGGGCCCAACTTGGGGCCTTCGCTGTAGAGACTGAGGGCTGGAGCCATATTAAAGAGCTTTGAGGGCCCTTTTTAACAACAAAAGGAGAGGCCGACCCCCACCACCCCTCGAGAGAGGGTTCTTGATGAGGGGTCAACATTATACACCTCAAGTTTTTTGGGGGGTTCAGAAAGCTATGTAAACCCTAAACCTGGAAATCTCAGGGCGCCCCTGCCGCCACAACGAGCGGCCCGCGCCCAGCTCCCACCACTATGGCCTCAGCCAGGGAGCTTCCGAGGCTCAGGCTTGTTTTGTTTTGCGACCCACGGCTGGACCGTCCGCCACGTTAAAGGCGTACGCAGAATAGAGATTGCAATCAAGATCTACCTGCCCCAAACAGAGCCTAAGTCCTAAAATCAAAGCCCTGAGGGTTGAGGACTTAAGGGCTAAGGACTTGTTGCCGCACAACAAGCCCGTGACGCGTACGGTCGGTGCTCTTCGTACGATACTTTGCAGACATTGTCATATCACCCGCACACTCCTGAAGCCCAAAAGACGCGTGCCCCGCATCCTTTCTCAAGCACCGTGGAATAGGCGCCCCACCACGAGGTCCTTCTTGCCCTCCGCCAGCTTGTCCTGAAAGGCGTCCAAAGTCGCACCCTGGACTTGAGAAAGCTGATAGTGATGAAACCCTGCGTGAAAACAACACTAAACCCTCATCACACGCTACGCGCTTTAAACGTACGCCTGGACGCGGCAAACAAAAACACTGTCCTCGAGCCCTTTGAGACTCGCCCTCAACACGAAGCCTCTGTTTTACAGCACCCTTTCAGCCATTAGAGCACCCTGAAGCCCTCACAACCTTGCTTAAAATCAAGCCTAACCCTCCCTCTAACGCCCTGAGCGCAAGGGGTCTCGAGGACTCCTGGATGCATCTGTACGCAGCCTCCTCGTACTGAACGTACCTTGGATGCTAGTTGGGTGGAGGGGCTTGGGAAGCAAGTCGCGGCTTCGAGCTCCCCTGCGACTTGGCCCAATGGACACGAAAAAAGGGCTGCCTAAAATTCCAAACCCTGAGCCCTGACACGATCAGCAGTTGGGACGGCCAGGCCCCTGCCAAAAAGCAAGATGACCATTTCTCTCTGGGGTCTGCGCTTAACAGGATCCTTCTCGAACGTCTCATACCTGGCTCTTGCATTTAGGGTTGACTATTGCGGGCCAACCCTGAATTTAGGCTGCGGTGTCAAGGGTACTTATGATGAGGTAAGGCAAGCCCTACTACAACACACTACAACCTTCTTAGAGCACTAATAATCCCAGTAGCGTTTAGGGTCCTGGGTCTCGAGGGTTTCGAGATTCAGTGTCTTGAAAGACCCCTGTACGAGGAGCTTTCAGCAAGGTAGCAGAAACGGCTCCTAGGGGAGCTAAAGATTGACCTTTGGGGATATTTCGGTACCCTACACAAGGAATGAACAGATATGAGCAGACTCCTTCCTCAACTAGGAAGAAGTACCACACAGCAAGGCTGTACTGTCTTGACATCGGGCTATGCTTCTAAGGGTGCAGGCCGGTCAGGGCGGGGAAGGGGCCATGACTCATGACTCCCCACCCAACAGGTACCCACTGCCGGCTGAGGGCGTGTCGTTTGAGACTCGAGATTGTCCTGCAGAGGCTGGAGTGGAGCCTGCAAGAAGTCGTAGTACCTGCAGTCGCGGTGATTGCCGACAAAATGAGTGGTTCAATTCACAACGAACACAGATTTGACGCCACCATCCGTGAACGTATGCTCGTGGACCTGAAAGGCCCTCATAATATATCCTGAAATGCATGTGGTCAGCAAGCTACTTCTGCCTCTCACATTCTGGTATTGTAGGATTCGTACGCATGGTGTCGACGCCAAAGCTTTTCCACTTTGTAAGCCCCCCGCGGCCAACCCAACTCTAAAACCCCAACCCCCGCAGCCCGCATCCTGAAAGGGTAAGCCTCGCTCAAGCCCCAGAGAGACCACCAAATCAGAAAGGAACACAGAAACGAAACGTCAAACACCCTACAGCCCTGAAAGCCTCGTTGCTTGTCTTTCAGCCTGAAGGGCCCTTTATGCTGAAACCCTCGAGTAAACAGAGAAAGCCTCTGCATTGCGAACCGGCTTAGTAGGCTTCAGGGCTTTGTGGGCTTCAGGGCTTGCAGGCTTCCTTGGGTTAAGGGTTGTGGTAGGTTGCATTCGGTCTCTGTGTGTGTGTTCTTTTCAATCTCTATGTCAGGGTCCTCTTAGGGTGCTGGCTACTGGGATTGCTTACTAAGTTCTAAACACACACGTGTGTTGGATGCTTGCGTGTTAACGCCCGTTGCTCGTGTTGACTGGGGGTCCGGTTAACAGGTTGTGGAAGGCCTGGAGAATGCATTCCACCCCCGCCCCCCCCCCCCCCCCCCTACCTTCCCGCGTTTCAAGTTTGAATGGCCTGCTAAACGCATTCCCTCCCGCCCCCTTCCTTCCCGGTGCGAGCAAAACTTGACCTTCTGAGCGCATTCCCTCCGACGCATGCACTATGGATCGTTTCCAGATTGAAATGCCTCCCAACCGCAAGCAAGATGCGCTTGCAGCCGCCTCGAAAACGCATTCCTCTCCCAAGCAAGAGCAGTTTTGTGAGCCTGGAAAACGCATTCCTCCTGCGTAATCGAGGGTCTGCGTGTTGTTGCGTGTTGTGGCCCTGCGCGTGTTGAAACAATCTCTTTTTTAAACTTAGTTTGCTTAGGATTCCAAGGATTTCTGCTAGCGTTTCCGGAGCGGACGAGCCCTCGATCCTAAATAAAGCCACGAGCAGCCACAATCTGAGGCCCCTGCTGGTGCTCAAACTGCTCCTGGCCAGCACGGTTCAGGGTTTACGGTACCTCCCTCTTCCTCCCTCTTCCTTTCTCTTCCTCCCTCTTCCTCCCTCTTCCTCCCTCTTCCTCCCTCTTCCTTCCTTCCTTCCCTCCTTCCTTCCTATTGCTGTCCGAAATCGGATGCAGGGTGCAAGCGGCCGAAGTTTTGCATGCATCAGCAGGCGGCCGGCAATACTTTGATTGCAACTGTGGGCTGAAACCCCTATGCCTGAACCGAGAACATGTTACCGGTGAAACAGTAAGCTCGGCAGCAAAGCACACAGCTTCTCTCTGCTCATTTCACGCACATGCCACGATGTAGCCAATGTAGCCACAGCAGCCCAAGGCCTGAGATCAGATACGCGTGGAGGCCTCTCGTGCCAGTCTTGCCGAGCAGCGCCTTATTGGTACCGCAGCTGCTGGCTTGGGTTATCATCGAGGCGGTGCAGCGGCTCAGTGGCGGAAGCTCGACGATATCTGCTCTTCCCGTGCAGTCAGGCTCGGAGTAGTTGTAGAGCTCCAGCATCCCCACCGTGGCATTGCAGAGGTACTTCCTGCTGCCAGTGCCTAGTATCATGCAGCGCCCGATCATGAAATGGCTCTCGCGGAAGATCTCTGTATCGTTACAACTTGCAGCCGAGTAGATGGTCGTAGTTGCACTATCCCAAGTCTCCAGCGTGAACCTGCTATACTGGTCCCCTGCACCGTGGCATCTATCCATCTCCTCTGTTGAAGAGAAGAGAGCGGGACCACTGCAATTGATATAGCCGTTCCTGTACATGCTGTACTGAAACCGCGTGTTGTTGTCCACAAGCTCCAGTTTAGTTGCTTGGTTCTCTCCATTTGCCACGCAGACGCCGACTGGCTGTACAAGGCCTTGATCGCTGCTCTATGTATATACCTACGAGGGGCTTGGGGATATATGGTTCAGGGGAGAGGGTGCAGGATTCAGGGTTTAGGGTTAAGCGATGCTTGCAGGTGTACGAAAGGCTCGAAGACACTGAAAAGCAGCCAAGGTACCCATGGCATAGAGCCCTGTGCTGCAACCGCCGCCGGCAAACTTCTCCTCAACGACAAACATCTCAGCGAAAGCAGCGCCACACCAGGCGAGTAACAATCTGCTCATTCTCCCCATGGCGACACACGTCGACGGATTGGGTAGCTGGTTTGTGGATCCTTTCAGGGTTTCTTGCTTTCACGGATGTCGAAGCCCGCATAGTCCAGAGTCCATGGTGGTGCCCTGCCATCCGAGAACATATTACCTAACACTGCACGCCTTCCAGAAGCTACGGCCAAAGCGCAATGAAATGCCTTGCAGGGAAGCGAGCATAAGGTGTATGCACTGTTTGCAGGCATGCCGACACCTGAGCATCTGAGGATGCTGGGGAGAGCCAACCTACACGCTTAGCATGATTCCTCACGCGAAGCGTTGCGCAAAGGCTCCCTTGGCAGTCTTCTCTCCTGAAGTTTCCCAGCCGCCCAGTAGGGGAGCTGCAGGGAAGTAAACGAGAGATGTGCCCAGCTGTCACAAGACCCACCAAGAAAGAGTTGAATACAGCTTGAACACCGTTTGAAAGCCCTGAAACGAGACTGGCAGCAAGACCTTTGGAAATTTTTGAAACGAATCTGTGAGCCCACATCCCCAGGTCCAAAACAGGCCCTTTGAGCTGCGGTGCCTGAGCAGTGGGTGCCGGCCGGGATTGGAAAAGCCTGGCGATGTAGTGCAGGTACCTGGATAGGCCGCTCCGTTTAGGGTTTGGGGGTTTAGGGGGCGACTCCGGTGTCAAGTAGCAGCAGGAGCGTTTAGGCCTTGTTGGGAGGTGTGCGCGTTAAACCGTTAAACCCAGAAACCTCTTTCATCTCCCTGCAAGAGGCTTAGAATTTTCTCAGAGTTCCACTTGACAGACAGGCGCTCCAGTGGCTGGGTTCCAAGGCTACACCCTGTCAACCCCATCTTGAAAACACACCCGAAATTGTCGGGGTTGAGGGAGGGCCTGAACCGAACCACAGGATCAAGAGACCCCTCACGCCACGCAAAAAAGCCAACGTCACCTGAAGAGGTGCCTTGTGGTCTATGTCAAGAACTTGCCACCAAAGCTCTGAGGCTTTAGGCAGACGCGAGTGGGTAAGGCAGTAGCCCCTTGACACCCCAGCACTTAACCCACGACACTCTAAAACCCGAACCTTCAACCCCTAAAATCATGAAGCCCGCGCCCGACAAACCCCAAACAATTGCTTCGCCCGAGAAGCTTCTCGGTCTCTTGTTCGGCCGCAGTGCCCTCAGGGAGGCCGGACAGAATCACCTGCACCTTGTTCCTGCGCGTGGAGCAGGCGCAGGGCTTACTTGCTGGTTCTAAGCAGGAAAACACAGGAATGGTGTGCCATATGTATAATCTCGTGAAGAGTTACCCTGAAAGACACATTTGGGGTTCGGGGCCCTGAAACTTTCTCAACCCAAGCCATCCTTGATGACCCTATGCGGCCTAGGAAAAGCCCCATTAGCCCGAGGCTCCCCAGAACTCCAACACCTAAAACTCCAGATCCGGACACCCAAGCCGAAACCGCCAAACCCTCAGATCCCCCCCCCCCTATCAGGCAGAGGGGGTGCCCATTGAGGGGTTTCGGCCTGGAAGCTCAGCTCAGGGCTTCCGGGCTTAGACTGCGGGGTAAAGATGCTCACCTCTTTAATTTGTAAACCGCCAAAGACACATGGCCACAAGTATCAGGGTAACTTCGGCCAAGCTCTCCTGAAAAGCTGCATCAGGAACTCCTTGTGGCGCTTTGACAGCACCTGGCATGGTTCACGTACACGTGCGTTGACTTTGCTGCGGGTGCCACAAAGCTCTCTCAGCTCCAAACAAGCTTACCCAGGCAGCTCTCTGCAAGCGCGTCTAGGGCTCAGAGCTGAGGCCATGGATCCCACACCCGCTCTTCCAGCTTAAAGAGATTCAACAAACTACAGGTTACAGATTTCCTTCGGGACGATTATGAGGCTTCTTGAGCTTGAAACCTTCTTTTTGTTCTTGGCTGCCCGCGGCCACGTTCGCAACAAACCCCCTTACCCCTACACCTTACAAACCCTTAAATCCCACATCCTAAGCCCTCCCCAAGCCCGATCTCCCTAGGCTCCGACGCCAAAGGCCTAATCCGAAATCTGCTCGGAACCCCTCAACCCGAAACCCTCAATTCTCAAGCACTGTAGACCCTGAGCCTGACAAAGCCTTAAACCCTGGAGGCCCGCCGGAAATCCCTTCTTGTTGGTCAGGAACACGTCAGCGGGGACGATCACCGAGCGAACTGCGGTCACCATGGTCTCTATGGCTTCAGGGGCATTGAGTTCGGGTCGCGGTAACGTGCCACCACTCAGGGTACAGCAAAGGCTACCGCAGAGATCAACACCTATAGAACTTCCTTCGCATCAAAGTGCTGGAAACCTTTTGGCCGGGCTTAGGTGTCTTAGCGTCTTGGTCTTACGCAGTCGGGAACTGACCGCCTAGATTTGGTCATTGCGCGAATTTACAGGACTGCCCGTTCAGATTTGGGCTTTTGATTTTAGGCTTCTACAATATTGCTTCAGGGCGGCAGAAGGATAGAAGGGATAGAAAGGTAGCACGATTGCCCCAGGTTATCTGGGGGGGGGCGTGGGGGGGGGTGGTAATAGGAAAATATCCTAATACACCTTGCCGGTCTGGACGTGGGGGGCCCCCCCCCACGTCCCAATACGGTGATATGCGATGCTCTGCCCGTCGTTGCTCTGGGTTTCTAAGATTGTTAAACAACAACCCGAAAGACAGAAGGGTCCAGGGTCCTCCTGAAATAGGAAGAAACTGGATTGGGGTAGGTCATGGAAGTACCCACCAGCACAGCATCTCCCATGCCTCCCCCCCATCTTCCATCCTAAACCCGGTGCTGATGCGGCTGCGTCGGGGGCTGTCGCCAGTGTCCAGGCTTCCTCAGAAGGGTCCACGGTCCTCCCCCGTGACCCCCGAAATAGGAAGAAGTTGGGGGGGGGTAGGTCATGGAAGTGCCCACCAGTACAGTGTTTCCAACGCCTCCCCCCCCCTTTTCCATCCTAAACCCGGTGCTAACGTGGGCTGGGCTGGCTGTCTCGGGGTCCTGTAGTGTGCAATAGTGTCCTCTACCCAGGCTTCCCCAGAAAGGTCCAAGGGTCCTTCCCCACACCCCGAAATAGGAAGAAGTTGGGGGGGGTAGGTCATGGAAGTGCCCACCAGTACAGTGTTTCCAATGCCTCCCCCCCCTCTTCCATCCTAAACCCGGTGCTAACGTGGGCTGGGCTGGCTGTCTCGGGGTCCTGTAGTGTGCAAGAGTGTCCTCTACCCAGGCTTCCCCAGAAAGGTCCAAGGGTCCTTCCCCGCGCCCCGAAATAGGAAGAAGTTGGGGGGGTAGGTCATGGAAGTGCCCACCAGTACAGTGTTTCCAATGCCTCCCCCCCCCTCTTCCATCCTAAACCCGGTGCTTATGTCGGGGGACCTCGGGCGTCCTCTGGTGTCCTCTCCAGGTTCCTCCCCCGCGCACGAAGAGGCTGGGGGTCATGGGAGTGCCCGCCAGTACACGCAGAAGCTGTGAGTCATGTCATGGGCTGTAGTGCTGAAGCACGACATGACTTCAGCATACACCTGACAACAGAAACGCCAGCCCCTGGCGAAGCGAGTTGACCACTTCACTGCATGTTCTATCAGCAGCAAGATCGCTTCATATTGCTTCAAAGAGAAGGAGAAATCAAAATGTGGAGAACGAGGTAGATTATGAAACTCTAGGAACATGGGCTAGTGTTTTTTCCTATTTCTTGGCCCCCCCCCCACGTCTTCAAAACCACATACTTTTTAGGAAATCCTATTAGGGGACGCCCCCCCCCAAAAACCAAGAGATAGCGGGGGGCAATGTAGCACGCGGCATGCTCTGGGCTTGAAATACTATGCGGAACTGTCTGCGCCAACCCGCCTCAAGCAAAAAACGCCACCAGAATTCACCAAGCAGCAGGGAGCAACAAAAGCAAAAGTGATGCTGACGACAAGGCCTCCCCCTAAATCCTAATCCCCAAGCCGCAAACCCCAAACTGGACGCTTATATAGGCACTTAGTAGACGTCTACAGAACCTCTACCACTCGCAGAGACCGCACCTGGCTCCGCCAGCCAGCGCATCAGCTCCTTTCGAGAAGGGTCTGGGGACTCTGGGGTTCTGAACCGTATGCTGCTCTGTAACAGCCTGCCAAACAAGGTTGCCAACAAGGTAATTACCCCGTTGCGAAATGATCTAAGCCCAAAGCACAATTTGTGGACTACCCGAGGCCTGCCCCAACACAGTGGTGGTAAGACAAGACGGGATTGCTGGACCTTGAAGGCATGGGTGTTCGACACCAGAAGACTCACAAACAGAGTCCTGCCATCAAGCCCCACAATCCAGTAAATCCAGTAGTCAAAGCCAAGGCCGCTGGAAAATGAACACCAAGCACCAAACAACAGTACCTGGTGCTGCTACCTTCTCCCTCCTCCCCAAGGCGCCTGGTCCGTCTCCGGGAGGTCCGCGGTGAGCTCCAAGCAGACCTGCGCAACATCCAGAAGCCCTGAAGCCCCCAAGACATGTCAAAAGGGCTTAAAGCCTTAGGGTTGTGAGTTCTGTGTAAATTTATGTCTGTTTATTTTATTTGCATAGAAGTATTAGACAGACTACACGATATGTAGTACACCTAGACACGTTGATAATGGAGGCATCCCGCTTGACATCTTGCATTTGGGTGCATCCTGGGCACCTGGGCAAAAACCCCTTGGCCTCCGGCCTCTTCGGTTTAACTAGGGTTTTCATAACCTCCATAAATGACTATAGATGTCAGCTAACTACCACCAGATGCCCATTCTGGCGATGATGGTACGACTCCGTCCTGCAACCGCGGGTTCTGGTCACACAGCAAGCGCAAGGCGTTCCACGACGTCCAGCCATCTGCCTGGCAAGAGCACCGTGCAGCTAAAGTCATGTACGCCGGCCTCAGGACGGAATTATATTTTTTCCTGGACACCCCATGCAAACCGACAGCTCGAGCTCACTTGCGAAGGACATCCTCACCGGATGCAGTTTTCGGCGTGTGGCAGCTTTTGGGACAACAAGGAACGTTGCAAATGGCCGAGCTCGATCTTTGAGCCGACTTTGCGAACCAGGTTCAACTAGGTGCCCCTAAACACATAGTCCTTTCAAGGGTTCTTTAAAACTTCACCTTTTTCCCTCAGAGATTGAGCCTCGGTGTGTTCTGCTTGCAACGGCCAGAAGGCCCCAAGGACTTGTTGGGCGGAATCTCTTAATGAGGGGGGCAGGGGTCGACAATTGGGGAGGTTCTAGTTAATATAATTCCATACAGTATAACGTATACATGTTATACATATACATATATATAGACATATCTATGGATTCGGCGGTGTAACCGTACCTGGTTTCTGCTACTTTTCTTGGGGGGTGGGGGGGGGGGGGGGGGGGGGGGGGATAAGAACGTCATTCATATTGCATGCATGCCCAAAACACTGGTATTTGCAGCGTTTTCGCCTCTTTGTACAACATACTGCACAAGGATGTGGAAGAAGAAAATCTGTCACAAGCGTCCAGCCTTTCGCGACCATGCCGAACACACGTCCCACAAAAACCGTCAAAGTCCTGAAATTTGGCAAATGCGTTTTCGGAAATGCAAGCCTCCAAAGACACAGCTGCAGAGGCTGTCTTGGCAGAAATGCATGAAAACATCGCAAATTACAGTGTTTGCCGCGCGTGCACACAGCAAAGCTGTGAGACTCGCGCCACGACTGCACACACAGCAACGGAAAAGTCCCAGAGCGCTCATGGCCCCAACAACAAAACGACCCGAAAATCTTGCAAAAACCCAACGTTTAGCAAAAACGACTTACGAAATCACGCTTTTCTAAAACCTCCCAAAATAGGCCTGTCGACTAGTCCACGGCGGCGGGATATAGATATGTGTGTAGGGTTCGGGGGGTTCCAGTTTGCTTGTTCTGGAGACTAAATCCGAACCGCCCCGCCTCGCCGATGAGAAGTGGAATGTTGACCATGAGCTGCGTGGTGCAAATACCTGCAGAGACAAAGTGAAGAACCTCCCAACCAACCCCGAGCATTTTTCAGAGACAGGACCCTCATTGCCCATAGGTGTGTCAGGTTGGCCCACGCCATCCCAACCTGTGAACTCAGGGTTGTAGGGTTCAGGGCTAATTGGGCTTGGGTTTAGGATTTAGGCCGAACCCTACAAACCTTGCATGTTTATGGTAAGGCACCGTCCGTTTATTTGAGGTCTTGGGCTCTCTCTTGTAAGTCCCCTTGTCTGAGCCGCCAGCCATTCAGCATGATCCGGCTAAGCCTGGCTGGGGATGCTTTTAGGCACTCGCGGATGTCAATGAGGAACCCGAACAACGAGCAAGATAATTGCAGTTCAGGCGTTTCGCTGAGAGTGGAAGGTTCAGGGCTATCGGATTTACGGCATCGGTTGGCTTATGGCCCAGAGTCTTAGTGGAGTTGCGGAATTGCGTTTGAGGTTTTTCGGAAAAAATCGCCATTTCAGGTGTTGCCAACGTTTCCCACGAGCTTAGGGTCTGGCGTTTAGCATTTGGGGTTAAGGGTTGTCGGCTCTCGAACTTTAGGAAATAATCATGGGCTTAGTTAGGGAGTTACAATTTACAATGGGGATTGTAAGCGGACAATGATACGAACTGAATTATCCAGGCTATTCAAGACTCCTGCATTAACACAGCGGAGTGCTCCGCGGTTGAGGTGGAATCGGGGGCGGACGGGAGGGGCGGGGCTAGAATCTCCGCTTGCCTCAGTCTGAAGGTTTAGGGCTTAGATCCATCACTGAGGCCGGCTGCAAACAACCAACCCTAAATAACCCTCAATAACCCTATATAACCCTAAAAACCCTAAATGACCCTAGGCAACCCTAAAGCCTATAAACCCTAACGAGGAGACAAAATCTGTGTTCTGCATGTCTTCAGAACATATACTGGGCTTTTCGAGGGTCGGGCGCTGCCGCGTAGAACTCGCAGCTTTCTGGAGGGGAGGGCAGCACGATGCCTGGCAATCCAACGCTGAAGTTTAAGGAGTGTAAGGCTTGCGGCTTAAAAGGTTAAGGTTTGGAGTTTCGGGTTTAGCCAGCAGAAGGGAACCGCCAATAGGCACCGCAGGAGATGATGCGCAGACAATACTTGTCTTGAACTAACGCCTGCTCCAGACAACTCCTCTACAGCATTGTCAACCTTAACCCGCCGTTGGACGAATCGTTTTCAACTGTTTCTACTGATGTAGTCTTCATGCGGATGCTTTTCAAGCTCTAGTACGTAAGGCCCGGTGACGATTCGGCCTCCTGCTCTGCAGGCGGCTTGGGAGAAGCTACAACAGCAACTTTACTACCCTAACAACTCCTTCATCATGGTCGAGCCTACCCGGAAGCTGCCACATGGTGCAAGCAAACAAACGAGAAAACATTGGCAAACAGAGAGAGAGAGAGAGAGATGTATGTGTGTATATGTATACATAGTATATATGTGCATATCTATAGTCATTAGACTTGTCCAACGTTCAGCATGCGCACCTATAGCCCATAGACTTTGCATGGAAGAAGAGGAAGAGCTGGTCTAGACAGGAGTGTTATGGCTCTTAAAACGTACAGTGCCGGACCGGATGGTAAGGGGCCGGGCCTCGGGAGTTCTTGCAGGTGCATTGCGCCGCAACTTTATGGTCTGCGTCGCTTCAGGGTCTTTCGACGCCACCAACTGGTTTCGGGTTTTAGAATCCCAAACCCGATCATTGGACTGAACATGGGCCGAGCGGCCGTAGACGCCCAGGTGAGAAGCCCAAGACAGCTCCTGATCGAGTTTGGCGTTTCGAGCTGTTTACCCCGAAGCCCCATAAGCTTCAAACATGAGTCGCATGAATCCTAAAAAGAGCTTGCTCTTCGGCATCACTTAGTAGTGGCCTTTTTTGTACACCAGGGCATTTGCTTACTCGGCCCGTTGCCTGTTGCCCTAGGCACTGCACAGGTCCTGCTCTAAAGCGTCTCGGCAAAATTCTCTCTGGCCCGACCTGGGCTGAAACAGGTACTAAACAGGTGGCTCCAGAATTTCGGGCAGAGGATCCTGGGAGGGCTCAAGCATCGTCATCCCGGGCTCAAGGCCTGAACCTGAATTTCAGGCCTACATGAACCCTGGCTTGCTCCGTAAGCAGACTCTCCCACGGCAAAAGTTGACAGGCAAACTCAACTGATGGCCCCGACCAGCCACGTGCATGGAAAACTGCTCTTTTGTCGCTTCGCTTTGTTAGGTGTCGTGGTTCAATACTAAGTAGTAGTAGCAGTAGTAGCAGTAGTAGCACTAGTACTAGTACAAGTACTAGTACTAGTACTAGTACTAGTACTAGTACTAGTACTAGTAGTAGTAGTAGTAGTAGTAGTAGTAGTAGTAGTAGTAGTAGTAGTAGTAGTAGTAGTAGTAGTAGTAGTAGTAGTAGTAGTAGTAGTATAGTAGGAGTAGTAGTAGTAGTAGTAGTAGTAGTAGTAGTAGTAGTAGTAGTAGTAGTAGTAGTAGTAGTAGTAGTAGTAGTAGTAGTAGTAGTAGTAGTAGTAGTAGTAGTAGTAGTAGTAGTAGTAGTAGTAGTAGTAGTAGTAGTAGTAGTAGTAGTATAGTAGTAGTAGTAGTAGTAGTAGTAGTAGTAGTAGTAGTAGTAGTAGTAGTAGTAGTAGTAGTAGTAGTAGTAGTAGTAGTAGTAGTAGTAGTAGTAGTAGTAGTAGTAGTAGTAGTAGTAGTAGTAGTAGTAGTAGTAGTAGTAGTAGTAGTAGTAGTAGTAGTAGTAGTAGTAGTAGTAGTAGTAGTAGTAGTAATAGTAGCAGTAGCAGCAGCAGCAGCAGTAGTCGTCGTCGTCGTAGTCGTCGTAGTAGTACTCGTCGTAGTAGTAGGTATGGATTAGGGTTCGGGGGGTCCAGGGTTCGGGGTTCTCAGGTTGGCCACGGGACTGGGTGGTTCGAGGTGGGCTTCCTGCGAGGCACCACTGCAAAGGCGCTTTGACCACTGGCACTTTAAGCTCTCAACCCTGGGTATCCTACGAAACACTAAGCCCGGCGAGAAGCATGTCATAAGAAAGCCATGCAACGTAATGCATCTGTTCCGGAAGCTCCTGGCCATGCTTATGTTCTAAAAGCTCTGGCTTTCTGGAGGTATCATCCAGTTCCCTGATGATAGTAATTGATGGGCCGATCGCATTCGCGTTCCGGCTATCCCAACAATGGACCCAGAGAATGAACAACAACAATTGAAAAGGAATCAGGTAGGGCTCAGGCTCTCGAAGGCTTCTAACGGTTGGAAAACCTTCCTGAAACATTCTTTCACCCTGCTTGACCTCCACTTGCAGCTTTCGCTGGCCTTGAGCTCCCGAATCCAGCAAGAAACAATGGAGGCCCGGAACCCCCAACCCGAGGCGGCTGAGAAGGCGGCGACATGGAGGCCGACATTGGGAGCCAGCTTGACAGCTGGCCGATCTGAGCGCCGAGATGGGAGGCTCCGGCTTGGCGACGATGCTTGTATGGGGAGATGGGGGGGGGTTCCGAACATCACAACTCCCTTTTAAGGGAGGAGTCCTAGCCTGTTGTGGTGGGAGTGTAAAGGGGGTCCTTAATTGGAAAACTCCCACCCAGGGCTCAGACAGTTCATGGGTTGGGGCTCGAAGGCAGAATGGGCTCATTCCGGAAACATGCAACACAAAAGACCACAACCAACAAACATGCAAAAACATAACAAAACGAAACAAAACGAAACAAAACAAAACAAACAAAACAAAACAAAACAAACAAAACAAGCAAACAAATTGGCACGTAGTTCGGGTTAAGGGTTTAGGGCATGTGATGACGTGGTCATCACCACGGAGATTAAACGCGTGAAGGCCATCGCATCTCTTGGGAGACGGCCACGGCCGAGCTCCACGTCTTGCTATCCTCGGCCGCTGCCCCAAACCGTCTCGGGATCACCGAAACCGCAAATCAAAGCCACTTCAGGACAGGCCCAGGGCTATACGAGGGTGCTGGTATAGAAGGACTCTACGAAAGGAACATGGGGGAAGCTACCCACCAGAGCCGTATCTTGGGCCCCCAGCCTCTGAGAGATTTCCCTAGCGCTCCCCTACAGGTAGGGGGCGAATGCTGTGATCGTCTTACAAGCCCTAACCTTGCTTGGAACTTCATGAGAAGTTGTAACTGGGGCTAGAAGTAACCTGGCATCTAGACTACCGACTACCGCACTTTAGCCCTACTTGTCAAGCACCCATGAACCTCGGATTGAAAGGCTTCAGGGGGGCGCACAACATCCTTGAGCCCTAAACCCCACGTGCCAGCCCGTGAAGACCCTAGAAGTGCTACAATTAAAGCAGTTGCTTGTGGGGCGTAGGGGGTTCCAGGGTTTCGGTATTGGGGAGGAAAAGGAAGGCTTTCAAGTTCCTCGGATGCCCTTTGAAGCCCTTAAGCCCTGAAGCCTAGAGTCAAGAACGGCCCGGTAAACACCCAACAGACCATGACTTTCTCATAAACGCCCTTACAGCCCTTCCACTCCGACCCTGCTCGGTTCCTCCCTAATCGGGTTTAGGCGGTTTAGGGTTTTGGGCGATTTAGGGTTTCAGGTTCTTAGGAAGATTTTTGGGGATTGCGATGCGGGACGCCTGCAAAAGAGGAATAATTGCCCCGGCCCCTACGAAAAATATTTAATCCCTTTAAAAAAACAGAAACACAAATTGGTGTTGCGTAGGCGGGGGTGGGGGGTGGGGGGATGTTTTTGCTCTTAACTAGGGGCGCGCATTATCCAAGCAGAGCTCTGGCGAAGACTTCACTAAAACTTGAACCCCAAAGCTCTTATGCAAAATATAAAACACAATAATAGTAGATGTGTGTACATACAGATATATGTATATGTGTATACATATTCAGGTCTTAGGCCCTTTAAATTCACCCCAAAACCTCAGCGCTGGGCGAGCGCCAGATCAGACACTGTGGAAGGCTGCAGCTGGTATCTCGGCAGTTTGTAAGGACAAGGGGGGGGCTCAGGGGCAGTAGAATTAGACTCTAGACCACTGCCAACCCGGGCCCCTGCCTCCCCTCGGAGGGTACCGCTTGATCCGCTGAGGACTGCTTGAACCTGGTCCAACGGCTGCTTTGGGGTGTCAGGTTGCGGGGTTAGGCCTATAAAGCTAGTACTAGGTATAAGACAAGCTTTAGGCTTCGGGGGACATAAAAACTGGGGGTTTTTAAGTGGAAAAAGTTGACCTTCTTCTTTGTACCCGTGAACCTCCAAGTCGGTTCTAGGGGTCTGCTTTGGGTGAAGGCCGAATCAGGGGAACAGATTCCGAGACCAGCAGGGCCGAATCAGAGACCAGCAGGGGGGAATCAGAGACCAGCAGGAGACCAGATTCAAAGACCAAGCTCCCAGATTCCGAGACCAGACATCGGATTCAGAGACCAGGCTCGCGAGTACAGACTCCAGCCGACCCGACCCGCCCCACTGACCCCTGACCCCCGACCAAGCAACCCACCCGACCAGCCCGACCAACCCAACCGCCTGACCGCCTCGACCAATCCGATCGGCCCGACGAACCCAATAACCCGACCAACCCAACCCAAGCAGCCAGGGACCCTCACAAGTGGGCGAGGCGACCGAAAGAGTAGACCATTGCATTCAGTCACCATGACGCACCCTTGTGGCAGAATGCTGTCGGCACGGTCCTGTGGCGCAGTAACAAGACGACCCGACCCACCCCACCGGCCCCTGACCCCCGACCAAGCAACCCACCCGACCAACCCGACCAACCCAACCGGATCCGACCCGCTCGACCGCCCCGACCAATCCGATCGACCCGACCAACCCAACCAACCCGACCCACCCAGCCCAAGCAGCCAGGGACCCTGCAGCGACTGAAAGAGTAGACCATTGCATTCAGCCACCATGACGTACCCTCGTGGCAGAATGCTATCGGCACCGTCCTGTGGCGCAGCAACAAGCCGACCCGACCCACCCCACCGGCCCCTGACCCCTTGACCAAGCAACCCACCCGACCCACCCGACCAACCCAACCGGACCTGACCCGCCCGACCGCCCTGACCAATCCGATCGAACCGACCAACCCAACCAACCCGACCCAATTCAAGCAGCCAGGGACCCTCAGAAATGGACGAAGGGACCCGACCAACCCGACCAACCCAACCGGACCCGACCCGCCCGACCGCCCCGACCAATCCGATCGACCCGACCAACCCAACCAACCCGACCAACCCAATTCAAGCAGCGAGGGACCCTCAGAAGTGGGCAAAGGGACCCGACCAACCCGACCAACCCAACCGGACCCGACCCGCCCGACCGCCCCGACCAATCCGATCGACCCGACCAACCCAACCAACCCGACCAACCCAACCCAAAGTTTGGGAGGTACCAAACCCACGATGCGGACATTGTCTGGCCAAATGGGGGGGGGCTGCGCCCCCCCCAACCCCCCCGTTTTTTTGTTTTTCTCCTTGGGCTTGTGCCGTTTGTTTTTACTCGGACAGGCCTGCTTCAAAAGAATCCGTTCCAAACCCATTTTTTACTCGGGCAAGCCTGCTTCAAACGAATCCCTTCCAAACCCACGATGCGGGCATTGTCTTGGCAAATGGGGGGGGCTGCGCCCCCCCCAACCCGCCCGCTTGTATTTTAT